ATTAGTCACTGAGTAGCTGGTTGGGTTATCAGATTGATTGTCAGGGTATTATAGTGCTTGTGTTCAAGTAACTCTTATTTAATAACACCATATTTATATAACTTTCGTTACAGTATATTGTTACAGTTATTCTATTTTATGTTTAGTTGTTATTGCTGGTTTACTATGCTTAATTTATAAATTCAACTTTATCACATAGAGGAAAAACCATGGCATGTGTAGGTTTGCTACTCTTTGCAGTTTCAGGCACTCACTGGGGGGTCTTGGAAAGTATCTTCTGCGGATAAGGGGGGACCTACTATAACCCTTTTATATAACCACAGGAAGGATTTTTATTCAAAGACATTTGGCCTCACAGTTAGATGGAAGCTAATGTCAAAAGTAAAGCCAATGAAATTAAAACAGAAAAAAAAAGCAATTAAGGTAATTTCTACCAAGAAATTCTCCATAGTTCAGGGGAAGGAAAAGGATGATGTAATTTCTGATCTTTATAGTAACCTCAATCATGTCATTATTTGTGCCAAGTTCTGTTTTCATGCTAACTGGCCCTTGTTTGGGAAGAATGTATGTAATTCATAAATTGCAAACTGTATTGCTATGTCACTGTGCTCTAAGTCCTTATGACCTCATGCCTGGAATATTAAAATGATTTTGACTAACATCTGGACTCTGGTTGCACTACTTTAAATCCATTTGGGGGACATTGAAATCACTATTTCTAAAAACATTCATTTGATTCTGTCACTTACTTATTATATCCAGAATAGAATCCAAACTTCTCACTCTGGGGACCAAGATCCACCACAAACCGGCTTCATTTTATTGCTTGAGATATCTTTTTAAAGAAATTTAAAGAGTTTGTTCAGATAATGATTTACAAACCAGGAAATGTAGTCCTCAGTGTGAACTGAGAATACGTTCCAAAATGGAGGGCATAGTGTAGGGTTCATAAAGACAAAAGTTGCAAGAAGCTGGTGATTAAAGAGGTGGGTTGCTAAGAAAAACAAGATTATAAACATGTCATTTGTTTTCTGATTGGTGAGGGCAACTGGACTTTCAATGGTTGGCTGGCTCAGTGATGGACCAAGTGGAGTTGGGAGGTGAAAACAATAGGTAATGTATGATTAAGCATTTATCAAGTCCTAGTTTAGCCCAGGCTGGCAGAACAAAAAGGCTGACTTTGATCACACAATTATAGTACAGGGAATATTATTTAACAACAATGCAAGGAGTACAATGTATCAAACAGTACAATCAGCACTGAGAGGGCTGCTGGCTCTATAGGCAGTTCCGGAGCCCAACAGGGCAGTGATGCTCTGCAAGCAGCTTCAGAGCTCAGGCTGCAAAAATCCTAATTTGGGGCCACAACTTATGATATTAAAGTTCTTATGAGTTCTTACACCACAGACCTAACAAACTATAATTAATTCTGTATCTTGTTCTTAACTAGATTTTTTATGAAATTATCCTGTGGAAGGTAGAATTCTGGGTATATCTCTGACAGGGTGAGAATTGTGCTCTCTTAGTTTAAAAATATAAAGTCTAAATAGGTAATACTATCTTTAGGGCAGAGGAAAGAAAGAATTAGAAATGTGTGAATGAATCTGATGAGAATTTTGCAAGGCTGGCTAAAAAATCTAGGGCAGGTACCATGATGTCTTTAGTTTTTTGTTTGGAATTTGGTGAGCTGATACGTAGACTCTAACTTTACTGCAAAACAGAACGTAATAAGTAATTTAATAGTAGGATACTAACTACTACGTTAGAAAAGAAAAAATGAATTTAAATCCAATTAGACCAACTAGAGAAATCCTCATGCATTGATGACATTTTAAGTGAGAGTTTGAAGTAAATAGAGAAACCAGTCTGAGGAACATCATAAGTAAAAGATGTGGAGCAAAAGGACATGGTGCTTGAGACAGTAGAATGAGGCTAAAACAAAGGTAAACTGAGGAAATAATAGGACAAAAAGTTGGAAGAGCCAAATCACGAGCTGCCTTATTATTATGCTAAGCAGTTTGTGAATGGAGAACCACCTAAGTGTACTGAGGTAGATACAAAATCTGAACTGGGATGGCTTAGGAAAATTATAACAGGGTGAAAATTAAATTTCAATTAGGCAGGCATGGGGTAGAGAGAACAAAGAGAGGTTCTTTTTGTTCATTTCTCTTTTTTGTCAATTACTGACATTTAATATTATTTGATATTAATTTCAGGTATACAGCAAAGTGGTTAGACATTTATATAATTTATAAAGCGATACCCCCAGTTAGTCTAGTACCCATCTGGCACTGTACATAGTTATTACAATATTATTGACTATATTACCTACGCTGTACTTTATATTCCCATGACTATTTTGTAACTGCCAATTTGTACTTCTTAATCCCTTTAACTTTTTCACCCAGCCCTCCACCTCCCCTCATATCTGGCAACCATTAGTTGCTTCTCTGTATCTATTAGCATGAAATCTAAAGAACAAAATAAATGAACAAACAAAACAAACAAAACAGAAACAAACTCATAGATAAAGAGAGGTTTTTTATGATAGTATAGAACAAAGTCATACAAAAGAATGATTAAGGATTGTGTGTGTAAATAACAGTAGAGGAAAAGTGTGTGTGTGTGTGTGTGTGCATGTGTGTGTGAGACAGAGTGAATATGCATGAGAACTTTATTTTGAGTTAAGAGCAGAAAGCTAGAGATGACAGTAAGCCGAGTTTGAGACACATCGATTAAAGTGTTTCCCAACCACCCCTTAAATAGAAAAAATACAAAGAGGTAAGCATTAGAGATGCAAAAGAAAATTTTCTTTACGAGTAAATTATAGGATTCTATAAAATGTGTTTCTAATTGCTAGAATGCTGATTCACTCTAAGAGACTTTGGGGAAGTCAGTATTTTAATCTAAATTTATATTTCTTTAAATGAAGCTAAGATACCAACATTTTCTTCATGAAGGATAATAAGAATTTATGATCCTCATCTGTATTCCATTTCCCTACCGGAGAAACAAGGATTTTCTTGATACTTCTACGAAGATACCTGGTCTCTTTATCTAAAGTGCTTTGCACTCCGCCCCCTTTATTCATGTTCACATCATTTTCCTGTCAATTCTAGGCTAGCATTTCAATTCTTTTGAATTCCTCCAAATACATAAGTTGAGGGTGTTTTGTCATATGAGTAATTGTATTGGTATAAACAGACAAATAAGGAGGCTTCTGCTTCCCCTTGTTTTTTAGCAAATCACAAATGTCATAATGTACCCATGTACAGAGTATTATACGTCTTAGTCATGTGTAGCTACTGGGTTGTAGGTCTTTGATTCAGCTTTAAGTTATATATTCAAGAATACTGAGGTTAAAATCACTTGAGGGCTGGGATTGTGTTGAACATTGAGGATAAACCAGAAATCCAGACACACAGTTCTTATAGAGCTTACAGCCTAGGAGAAAAGGCAGAAATTGAAAAATGACTTTTATAAAAAGTGACAAATTTTACAATAGAAGTTTAGGTGACCATGGAGATATTTTTGAGAATAAACTGTCTAAATATTCTTGTAAATCACAGAATATAGAATTAATTATACTTAAGCAGTTAATGATGACATGGTAATTAATATTCATTTTATTAATTTGACAAGTTTTTCAGCTATATTATGAACACTATAATAAAATTGTTAACTTAGTGCAACTCAGGTTAATTTAAAAGACCGCTTTTATTCAAATATACACAATGTAATTAAACTAACAACATAATTATGATGGCTGTCACTGAAGAATCTTTAATAGCTAAATGATCTGTATATAGTATAGCAACTGATTTGAACTTGGAGGACAGTATTTGAATATATTTTCCCTCAGAGTTGCACTATTAATAACTTCTTTAAAAAACAAGGAGAAGGGTCTGAATTAAAATACGTATTATAAATACAGTGCATATGTCACTCTTCATTTAAAATTACGTATACTGCTCACCTGTGATTTAAAATTAAGCTAGTTTATGTAAAAATAAATCTAACAGAATGTTGTATTACATAACATTCAATACTGTACTTATGACTTTTTATATTTCAATAATGAATAAGAATAAATAAAAAATAATAGGATGAAAGGATAAAGAGGAAATCCTAACTTTTGTGTGACACAGGACATCACAAAAGGAATACTTCTTAATCGAGCGTCATTAAATATTTTTACTCTAGTAAAAGGTAAATGAGATATCAAAACTGTAGTAGGCACCATTATGAAATGCAAATTCAGGGCTGTAAATTTACAATATTTTAATTCTTTTATTGTGTACACAGAACATAATTCCACATTTTCTAGACCCGTCTGTTTCTTTAGATGTGTGTCTTTTTCTCATAGATATCGCTAAGTATCCTAGTACCTGATTTCACCTGTGGAAAAACATTTTAGATAATCTTTTAAAAGGGAGAATGAAACTTTAAAAAGTCAATTTGAAAATGACACTAGCCAATTTTTTCTAGGCAAACTTTGATTAACCACCTTCCCCAAACCACCTTTAAAACAGTAAATAAAGGATCATAAAATAGTCATTTATGATACTAAAGAACTGGTAGCCTAAAATAGCATGTTCATAATCTGAAGTGGAAATTAAAGACAATAGTTTATAAAGATCAAGCCCACCAAAGATTCTGCTCTTGCCTCAAGTTCATGATTATTTCAGATAAAAGCATCTTTTTCTAAATTGTTTTCTCCAGTCTATATTTTCCAGTGTCAAAATGAACTCATACCTTAGTATTTTAAAATTATTTTTTATTTAAGTGTGTGTGTGTATGTGCGTGTAATATGTCTTAAACAGCCAAAATAACCTTTGTGTGTTGGGCGGGTGGGGGTACCTGAGGGAGGTAAGATTGTAACACTGGCTTCACTTAGGTATTCTGTGATACTTTAGTTAAAGTTTATAAAAAAAAATTTTTTCTCCAAATTTGCTGCATATTTAAATGCCCTTTTTATCTACTTCTCTCCCTTTCTACAGATCTTCATAAACAATGAATGGCATAATTCAGTGAGTGGCAAGAAATTTCCTGTTTTTAATCCTGCAACTGAGGAGAAACTCTGTGAGGTTGAAGAAGGAGATAAGGTGAGCACTAGTTCTATTTTATGCCAAGTTTCCTTGTTTCTCACCATTCTAAGCTCCCAAACCCCACTTCAGGTTCAAGTACACATGTCATAAAAATGTGTTTTCTGGGGCCATCTGGGGAAACTTTCTTGGTACATAAAGTTGTATAATGATGATGAGCCTATGTTTCTGGGTGTTCTAGTGATTTTTTTAAATATTATTATTTTTTGCTTGTTTTTCAATTAAAATAGTGGCTAGATTTATTGTACCAAGAGGCTGAATATGAAATAATTGATCATAGCTTTTAAAAGCAATGAAATCCTTTATTCATATAGAATTGTTCTTTTTAAGTTGTAAAATGGAACTTAAGAAAACAACGTAAGATTGACTTTTAGAACAATATATTGCCAAGTTATTTCATTAAAAATCATTGAATTAATATTTATTGGTATCTTTAAAATTGAATTTTAAAATGAATTAAATTGAATCACAAATTAAAAGTGCTGTTGCTCTCTAACTAGTAATACTAATAGCAACAAAAAAAACTTTTATTTAGTGATTTTTTTTAAACTCTAAATGTTATTTTAATTTAATACCAAAGCAACCCCTATAGAGAAGGTATTATTTATAGCCACTTTTACAAATGATGATGTAATAGCAGAATAGAAAGGTTGAGCAATTTACTCAAGGTAACATTGTTAATAAATAATAAAATCAGCGTTCAAATGCTATCTTTTGACCCCAGAGCCTGTGACTGGCAAGACTACTGCTCCACCTTGTAATTATTATAAAAGTAAGATGGGGTAATATTTAATAGCCTAGGAAGTCTGGAGAGTAAAGGCCTTCAGAATTTTTATTTGAACACATACTTTAAAAGGTATATATGTTTCACAATCTAATGTGAAATGACTCTAGTCTTTAGTTTTCCAGATGTTATCAAGTTTTAAATCTTTGTCATGGAAGATATAAAGAGATAAAAATTTTTGCTGCCTGAAAAGACTACTGGGAGATGAAGTCAGAATAACCCACTAATAAAACCATTCATGACACTGTTCAGTTCATTGTAGCACTCACATGTTTCTGTTCAATTTCTATTTTTTCATTACCTTCACATCAATCAATGAGACCACTAATCTCAAGGTATTAGACTTGGAGACCTAGTTCAAGATAGTAATAGACCTGAGGGGCTCTTTGAGATTTAGGGAAAGCACTGAATTCAGGCTGCTGTATTATCAGAAGAAAGAAGACCCATAACCTGAGGGGCAAGAGTATAGAGTTTAGCCAGAGGGGTCAACAACTTGAGAAGTAGAAGCAGAAAGGAATGAGACACATGTCACCTGCTTTCAGATTTCACTTTCTGTATATATCAGAGTTCATCCATAGCTTCAAGGGCTTCTCACTGCCTCTGGGAAACACCCTTGTTTCTAGCCTCATCCCAGACCATCTCATCAATGTAAGAGTTCCAGCTTCACTGTGGTCAATATCATCTACGTGCTGGTCACTGTCTCTGTGGCACAGCTGTGGTGCAATCCTTAGGACCTAGTTTAAATCATCATCTGTAGTAAGACAAAAGAAGTCCCACATTTGCATTTACCTTCTTTGAGCTTCTGTTCCTTTTTCTGTAAAATGAGGAGATAGGGAACAACTTAGGGTAAATTAAATTAAAAAATACGTGAAGTGTTTTAACAGTGCTGAGCATATAACAAACCTTCAATCATTATAGGGTTTTACATTTCTTTAACACCTTCTCTATCTTTCCCAGGTAGAATTACTTTCTTCTGTGTCATTATAGAACCTTGTATCTGCCTGTATTCTAACCCTTGTGTTCTATAGCTATTGGTTAATTTGTCTGAGACAATATGCCTCTTGTAGAGATCAACACTACATCTCACCTTATGCCCTCAGTATCTAACACAGTATAGGTAATGGGTAAACAAACATCTCCTATGGAAAGCTTTGAATTTCTGTATGCCACCTTATCTTAGGAATTTGGGACTAAATTGACTATTGAATAAGGCAATGATTCTAGAAAATTTGCATGTATCAGAACTTCCTGGAAGGCATCTTAAAACAAAGATTACTGAGTCCCATCCATCTCTAGAGTTTGGTTCAATAATTCTAGATTGGAGCCTGAGAATTTGCATTTCTGACAATTTTCTAGGTGATGCTGATGTTGCTGGTTGGGGGTGGGAGTAGAGAAATATGCTTTGATAACCACCAAATTAAGATGTTAAACCATAAGTTGTATCTCTTCTCAGGTGTTAGCTTTTAATAAAGGGCATGGACACTGACAGGTAAGAAAACTGATGACTGGAAATGGTGCTGTAATAATCACTTTGCACCTACGAGAAATGTTATAAGACCAAACTCAGGGAGAGAAACACTGACAAACCCTGGCAATCTGCTCCAGGAGACTCAGAAGTCTGTGTCTTGTGAGTCATTCCCAGAAATAAGAGAAAAATTTTTTCTTCCCATTCAGCAAAGAGAAGTAGTTTTTATCAGAGGATTCTAGAGAGCTACACAGCACTCTGTTACCTCAAATGTTCATCTAGTTGCTTGAGTGATTCTGTCAAACCTGTGGAGGTGGGAAAAGCAATAAAGGTCAAGGTGAGGACAGAGCTGAGCAGCCTCTGACAGCTGCCAACTCTTTCTATTCAGAGGCACAAACTCCACTCAGGAGGGAGGCTGAAGAGCTGTTTACAATTTGCGATTAAGAGAAGAAAAAAATTCTTTATGCTTTTGCTCTAGGGCCTTCCTTGGACATCTATCTCACTTTGCCACTGGCTTCTGGGTTTAGTTTCATCAACAAAACAAACACGCCCTGGAGTTCCACTAGGAATCCTATCAGGCAATCTGAGGTCTGGGCATCTTGGGTGGGATTTACTTTCTCTCTCAAATATAGTGAGGGTGAGCTGATGATCGTACCTGAGCTTTAGAAATATTTGTCATTTACTTGCTCTGTGTTACTTGACAATTATTCCTACTCAGAGAAGAGCATAAAATCTGTGCAAATATAGATCAGGAATACTCATTAGCATCCAGCAAAGCTTCAAATCAGGTCACAGTGCTAATCGAGTTGCTGGATCATTGATCACTCAAGTTAAATTGTTTATGGTATAAACTGTTCACTGTTGGCAAATATTTTCTTTACATCCAGCACTTTTTCATCATGTTCCTTTTTGGAATGACCTACTAACATATTAAAAAAATAATTATTGCTGTTCTCACTTTTGCCAGGGAAAAAGTATGGTAACTTCTAACATCGCTTAATGAAAGGTACAAATCTAGTAAATTACATAGTCATAGTAAACCTAATAATCTGAAACTGACTCTTTAGATAATGAGCCAAGAAGTTTTAAGGATTTAATTGATGAGTAGAATGAAGCTAACAATGGGCTATATACTTCCCTTCGATGGTATTATAAAGAAAGGAGGAGGGGCAAGAACAAATAGAGGTTACAAAGCAAAGTACAGATGTGGATGGGAACTGTTTTCTTTACACTTCAGTGGCTCTTTTAGCTTATATTGACTAATCCTGAAAACCACTTTGAATACTAAAGCATGACATAGCAAATAATTGTCTGGGATAAAAGTAAACGTCCATTAAAGTAAAGGCCTAGGACAGGTGTAAAACTAAAACCGGTCTAATAACTATTTTCTCCAAATCTGAATGAATTTAATATAGAAATTGCACAGTCTGGAAGAGATAGAAGAGTTCAGTCTCTCCTTAACTTGCTCACAAGGCATTTGATATTTCATGGTCATTTGAATTATCTTTAAACAGTCAGCTTTGGTCTCTTACTTCAAAAAAGGAACATCTTAATCTCTACGAAGCAAAAGTGTTATAGATGGTAGCAAATCTGGCTTAGTGTACTATATAATGTGTTCTGGTTAATTCTAAAATTATGACCTTGGAAATACTAATCCCAGAATAAAAATCCAAGAAATGCTAGTCCTGGAATTAAAAAAGAAATGCTTGTGCCTAATAGTTTTGATTAATATAAAAATTTTGTTATATAATGAAATCAATTAAAATATGATTTATTATTTAAATGCCAATAAAAGTAAATTATTTGTATAAGGAGCACCCTTACATAAAATCAATGTAACATGTTGAATTTATAAGATAGGTAACTAAATTATTAAATATTTGTTAACTGCCTATGGTAGGCCCTGAACAGTAAGAAATATCATAGTTTATAATACAGATAGCAATAAATGTTCATTGCAAAGGAGATCATCATCAGCATAGTGTTGCAGAGCTATAAAACTGCATTTTGCAGTCAGACATGGGATGAAATTTTAACTGATGGATTTTGTGCTGAATTTCATGTTCTGTAAAACAATGTTCATGATGCTTCACTGCAGTCGTAACTGCAAGCTTATGAAGGGTTTAGCTTAGTACCTGGAGCTCAATAGGTCCTTAACTAGTAGCTATTATTGAGCCAAATTAATCTGGCAAGGGTTTAGGTAGATTGTAATATTTCAGCTGGATCTTAAAGAATATGTAGGATTTTGAAAGTAGTTGGGGTATGTCTGTAGAATGGTCTAGACAAGGAGAGTTACAAAAACAAAGCTGAGGAGTTGGGCCAGATAGACTACAAAAATGTGAACGTAAGTTTGAATAAATGAGTTGAGACCCCAAAACGCTGGGCCTCGAAAATCAGAAAGATGAGTTTGGATTTAGGTCTGTAGGCAATTATTTGAAAGGGAAAGTGGTAAAATAAAGGTATTTGCAAAAGATTAGCTTGGTAACAATACGCGAGACAGTTTAGGGAGAGAAGAGAATGGACTTGAGAAGGCTGGCAACAATATGAGATAATAATGGCCTAAATTAATACAGGGCCATGAAAACTGAAAGGAGGGATTAAAATACTCTAGAAATGCTGCAACTACAATAGTAATTGCCACCATTTAATGAACACTTAATATAACGTCTGTCACATAGAAATGTGTTTCAAGTGTTACTTTATTTAATCTTCAACACAACTCTGTGAGGTAACTCATCCCAATTTTAAAGATAAGAAAACTGAAGCTTAGAGAAGTCACATCACAATATATTTTACTTCAGAATACTTTTTATGTTTAATAATAATATATTGATATAATTATTTTGTCCTATATCTCTCCCGTTCTATTGGAATTTTCAAAAAGGCAGTCACCATACATCAGTATTTTAT